TCAGCTTTTGCGGCATAATGCCTTTTCAATATCAACGACGTTTCTAGTACCGAAGGTGGTGGGATTCCATCACTTCCTTGCGTTTGCCTCTTCATATTCGAGAACAACTTTTTCGAACTATTTTCAACATTTCCTGCCATATGTTTTCATGTGAATGTTCTGCTTTTCGTCCTCCCTTTTTCTTACACCTTTTTCAGCCTCCTGCAGATAGTCCACCGAAAACAGATATAGCAGGGGTGACTTCGTCCCAAACCGTTATTAAAGCTTCCGATATTCTGAAGGGATATAAGTTCGAAACTTCTAAAAGCCCCCCAACTTCGCATGTATCTATTCTCGACCATCAGTTGTATGTTGCAACGCTACCTCCATAAAGTGCGCCAAGTGTGATATTGACATGTTCCTTACGAAATCCATTTACATTCATATCTTATGAAATATCGACCCCCCTGAGTAATTTTCAACAGTGAAAATTGTAACTTCTTTAACAATTTGATCTTGCCTGTAAACCGGCATGCCTCATGTAACAAACTGTTATTTGAGAATAAATTATTACTATTAATTATCATATTATTTTCAAACATTAGCTTGTCAGCTAGGAAGACTACTTGATGTCCACTTACCGTTGTGATAATATGAAATTTGTAGGAGTTATCGAGGTTTACTGCCTGAGACAACCGACTAAGCAACTACCAGTAATTCACTGGTCTTATCCGGCGAAAAAGTGAGGTGCAGTGTTATTATTATTATTATTCACAAACACCTTACGGGTACATAAGTGCTGTGAAGAAACCATTTCGGGTTTCTTCAAAAATGCAATAATACACAATTTTCAATAATGTTAACAATACATATGCCATGTTTGAGAAAGGAAGGTAAAGGAAAATAAAATATTAATACTAGAATAGTAATAATAAATGAGGTTCTGTGTAATTAGCAAGAATTTTGAATTGATTTTGAAGGAGGAAAGGAAGAAACTAATGAAATAGAAATAAAGGAGACGCGGGATACGTAAATATCTTAACACAGAACAAGAATAAACAACTATGTATGTATAGCAAAAACGAGTAATAAAAATAAAATAAAACAGAATGTTTGAAGTATCCACGTTCTCATTGAGAATGAAATGGTTTAGTTACATCTCCACAACTGCCAGACCAGAACTATTGAGCGAATCATGAGATAAGAGTATGTTTATTCAACAACTTCAGAAAGTTCATTCACTGGTACAACAGTGCTGGCAAAGTGTCACGTACAACGTTCCAGATAAAAATAATAAGAACATTCATCGTGAGTACTCTTGTCATATATTCTCAATAATTCTTAGCCCTAGCCGTAGGCTGTAAACCTCAAAAAGTATGAACTGCAAACAAAGCCACAGTATGGCGATGCTGGCTCTAAAGGGTGGAATTTTAGCTTGTGTAAATATGTTGCATCATGGTATTAGTATATTTATCTTTGCTACTATAGTAATGGATTTAGTCCCAAAATTGTAGATTTGTCATCATGTGCCAGCCTAATCTATAAGATCCGATATGGATGTCACATCATAATTCATGCCGATTCATCCTATCGTAACAATGACCAATATAACGTCTAAAACTTCTGGAGAAGACATTTTGGGCTGGTTAGAGAGTAATGCAGTCAGTACAAAACAATAGGTTATGTGAAGTGATCACATCCGCATGGCCGTACTATGCCAACTCTGAATAATTGTTCCTGCGTTCACCATTATCGCCTTCTTCCACGTGTTGCTTGATGAATTTCAGTCTTTTCAATAACTGTATGTTCAGCCTCAACAATCGTGTAATTAGGAGTGAATACCTCCACAAGCTCGACCAAACAAGATCAATAGTATTAACACCTCAGCTCCTTTGACATAAGATCGCCTGCATACTGAGACGTTACAGAGTTTGTAATAATACAGCTTAATGATGAGAGTTCACAAGAGTTAAAAAGATAAATCCATAAAATACGTAGTTCATTACGTCTTCTACATTGACGTTGGACACACCCCAGACGAAAGCGCTCGGTCGTGAATGCGAGCCAGATCACTACTGTGTACACCCTTCTATGCATTCCTCTTAATAGCTAGTGAGCTTAGATAAGACACCTCTGAACATTTCGAATATCGTCCTAATATATATTTTGACTTTTTCACTACAAGCTCTCGGCTTAAGTGGGCTTGGAATCTTCCGATTTTAAGATTGTTATGCACAAAGGTATGTTTACAACGTAGTGACCTGCTTTTCTCGACAAGAACGCGATTGGCATAATGGAAACAATTATTATTACAACCAATCGTACCAGCGTGTTTTACTGTACTCGTTTTTGTTTAACTGTATCAAAATCAATTTTTTGTCCGTCTTGTCCTCTGTAACTTTCTTACGCTCTGCCATTATTGCCTGTTCTCGTTGGAATGTCTCGGTATTTTTTTGATACCACGAGATCGCCAAAAAAAACTTTATCTGGACTAATAACAGCGTTCTGGTTTGCGAGTTATCAAAGGAACCAAGTCGTTTTTGGGCGCATAATCTTACTCTAGTGGTGATCATAGTCAATGGAGACTCGATTCCATCTATAACACCATGATTATCCGTGACATCTCTAAACCTATTCCATTAATTCGTTTTCCTTCAACACTGTAACCCACACTTTCTTGTTCAGCCTCGGTGAATGTAGGCGAAGTCAACGGAGTTTCGATATTACGAAACGATGAACTACGGCGTCATTATGGTGAATACCTTGACAACATATATCAAGATCCATACAGTGCGTGGTGAATACATGATCTATTCACGAATTTAGTTTAACTTTGCAATACGACAGAATTATACTGATACTAGGATGACAGTCCATTGCAACTGAATTACTAAAACTTGAAATTGTATGGCACAGCTTTAATCAGAACCAAATTGACGTAAAGTGCAACATACTAAATTGTATTTAAGTATAAAGGAGTCGAAAACTCAGCATACAGATCATTGTAGGAATTGCCGAATTTTCACGTTATGAACCGACGACTATATCCGGTTAAACCACCACTGCGAGCGGAGCATTAAAAATTTGTAATTTCCTGGTAGTGGATTTTAGAGTGACAGACACCGAGAACCCTGTTATAAAATCTAGGAACTTCCTTCTTGGGCGTGAGAACGGAACTTCTGAGGCACTGGCTGGCAATAAGTAGTATACATGCCTACACTTATTCGTTTCACGGTAGTGCACGATCATCCCCCGTGGAGTGCCAGCTGACCAGTCCAGAAGTTCCACACTAGTGATCAAGATTAATGGTCGAGGGCTAGTTGCGGTAGACAAATCCAAAAAATAAATGGTTCTATATGTCTTCGACATTTGATACTCACCTAATTCACTTCAAAGTATAAAGTAGTCTTTCTGAGGCATGCTACAGACTACAGTTACAGCTTAGGTAACTCCACTCTAGAGGTACCCCAAGTTGACTGGTGGTAACCTACTATTTGAAGTCTTACGCTAACTGTAACAAAAACACCTTCCGAAAAAATCTTGCACTGGTAACATTGAAGAGGATTTTTGGTCAATTTGACTGTAGAACTACTGCATAAATCTTCAACGGTTTTATTCGTCCACATTTAGAGTATGGAAACATAATATTTCCTCCCACACCCCAAAAGGATAAGGATACTGTGGAATGTATCCAACGGCAAGACATGAAATCAGTTCAGGGACTCAAATTCAAGTCTTATGAAGAGCGCATCCAGTGACTAAAACTTTACCCATTGGGGTGCAAGCGTCTTAGAGGTGACCTAATGGCTCACAGTATCCTTAACACTTCTGAGTATCTCCTTAAACACCTACTTAAGTTTAGCTCCAACATAAACCTAATGGGTAACAACCAGAAACTGGAGACACAACTTGTACTCCTTAAGAGTTGTCAAATTCTGGAATTCGCTGCCGGCTGAACTAGTCCAAGAGACTTCCCAGGTGTCCTTTATAAGGAAACTTGACTTATTCTTAAGGACTAAGGATAACATATTATTATGATTTACCAAATTCTTTTTTTCCTCTATTATCGTTCATATACCTAAGTTTTTGCCTGGAAGTATTGGTGATTCACTGCTACTAGACACGGGATCCCGTTAAGTGAAAGCTTTTTCTATTCCGTCCACAACCATTTGAACAATGTTTACATTGCAGTAAAAAGCACATATGATGTGTCATCAGCCTCTAGAATAACATTATTGGCTACTACCAATTATATTGAACTGTCTTATCGCTTTAATGTGTTTAATCAAAATAAATCAGTGCTTCATAGTGATGGTTTACAAATATGTTGTAGTGATGCAACTAAATAACTACGATGATTCGTACTACTACACAATATGTGGATTTGTGCTACCCAAAGTAAGAAACTATAGAGATTTAGGAGTCATACTAAGCAATCATCTCAAAACAATCAGCCACTGTAAGGCTGCTGCCTCAAAAGGCTATAAGGCATTATGGTCTATTCGTAGATGTTTCTGGTATCTGGATGTGGAAATGTTTAGATTATTATACCCAACTTTCGTACGACCACATTTGGAATATGGGATTCAAGCAGCGAATTCTTGTTTCAAATATAAGGCGGATATGTTGGAACGAGTCCAACGCCTCGGGACAAAAATTGTAAAAGGTCTATCTGGCCTATCTTATGAAGACAGACTGAGACACCTCAACTTATTTCCGCTATCTTACCTGCAAATACTTATATTGACATAACATGTTCCATCTTTTCCTTCGATCTAGGGCTGATCATTTGAGAGGACATTCGAAAAAAGTGCAGAAACCGAGATCAAATCGTCTACGTCTGGAGTTTCGTTTCTCGCACCGAGTAGTGAATTACTGGAATTCTCTAACAGAACACGTAATATCAGCACCTTCTGTTGATATATTCCAGACGAAGTTGGACTTCCACAGTGTAACAAACTGCAAGGATTGAAAAAGGTCAATGGACCTCTTATCCTTATTACTGAAGACTGACTGAGTCTATCTGCGCGGGTTTTTCCTTTACCGCGTTACTTCTCTCCAGCTCATCAGCAATGGAAATATTCAGAAAATATTTAGGTGGTTCGACAGAATCAGACGAGGTCGTTGGAGCTGATATTGTACGTTTTTGCAAGATTTTTACACTGGTCAAAGGTGGATAAGCTTGTAGATCGCTACCAGTCTTCAACTAGAATTGATGACAAGAGGGATGCTCTACGGGCCCTGAAAGCACTTTCTAAGGCAAGCAAACCTTTTTAATCTTTATATATCTAGGTGTTTAGAAGTACCGATTGGAGGTTGGAACCCAAGCAATGATTATCTTCTCTTCAGTCTTGAAAACTGATTGGTTTGTTATGAGTGCTTTGTGCCTATAGCTCACCCTCTTTAGGGAGGATTCAGATTGTGTATGCTACGCTTTGGAAGGCCTTTATTCTGTAATGAACGATGAAGCAGGTGAACAAGGTTTGTTATTCCTAGTTTTCAAGTTCCGTAGTTGAACCTCATGAGTTAGTCAATATACCAACTGACCTGGGTGTACAGTTCACGGAAATGTATATGAAGAACACTGAAAACTACCAGATTTTATTGTCACTGTTAGATGTAAGTAGACTTTATTATCTCTTCATTGCCTTTTCCTAAGTCACTAGTCTCATATGGACACTGAACAAATATTGTATTATTTCACAGTACTTGTCGAAGAGTAATTAGGACAACCATGGGGTTGGTGAAACTATAGTTTATGGAGGAACCAATCAGATATAGGATTACAGGTCTTGGGTTTTGGCACGAAATTCACTCATCCATTTGGCTAAATAGAGTTTTGGCATTTTGGTCGATGTCAGTTGGTTGTTGAAGCCATAAATCTAGTTCTTAACCCTACCCGCTAACTGTAAGTCCTTATCCCTCGAACTGGTTTATAGCCCTCATTCAGTCCTAGTAGGGGTCGGTATTCCCAAGATCACTTCAGTGTTACTTACAGTTCATTTATAAGTTAGTTTCGCTGGCTCACCATACTTCACCTTTGACTTGATCCAGATCTGTCATCTTTTGGAAATTGGTCGCCTCAGTAGCCATTATATTTTTATCCAATCTGCCAAGTCGTCGTTGATAATTAAAACCAATATTGAAAGTGAACAAGAGCTTTTATTCCTTCGTTTCCTTTAGATCTAGTGTCTCATAGTTATTTTGTGTTTACTTCTCTAATTTGTCCTTTCTTTTCAACCATATTCTTTAGTTTCAGTCTTATTTTACTATTACGGACTCTAATATCACTGAATATTGCTGTTGTCACATCAATGTTCTGACGTTTAATAATCTAAACAGATGCTTGTTTGTTTCAGGTCTTACTTTATTTATGGTTGACTAACTGAATGTAACTATGTGTTTTTGGGGTTCGTTCACATATGTCCTACATTAGAGATCACAAAGTAGTGAGGTTTGAATTCAGCGGTATCGGTATTGAGTAAGCTTTTGGGATTAATTCTGGACGGCGAAATGAAGATGAAGTTTCTTTAAATGTGTTTGTTATTACGGCAGTTTTAGCCTTTGATGGACATCTGGTTCATAAGCATTTTTTTATGTGAGTTCTTTAAAACTGTCAAATACTAATTTAATTTGGGGAGACTTTTCTATATATTAATGTGAATTGGCCTGTTGGTTTTAAAATTCCAGAGTTAACGTATGGACTGCGAAAGCCGTTTGCTGTAAAGTGAAGGTAATTTGTATCCAGAGACAGGGTGTTGTAGCGTATTCGAACTACCAGCCCTAAAATCCAATATTACCGAGGGTTGGTAAGGTTGATAGCTCGGTTAGGAAATGTTGAATGCTTTAAAGTTCAACTATCTTATTTCATTCCATTATAACAAGCCTTGTTCCATGGTCAATTAACAATAAAAATTCGAATGAAGCTGTCTTCTGAAAGTAATCTCCACTTATCGAAACTTTTATACACTGAAACCAAATATTACTTTGATCAATCCCAATAGTTGGGAATTGAATCGACAACTGCATCTCTGTGCTAATGTGGTATGGCAACTTGAACTGATGTACGTACGTACGAAGTTCTACGTTGTGACTGACTGACTGACTGAATCCCAATAATTGTGATAGTGGCCTAGTCAAGAAGCTGAATGAGATATCACAAACTGACAGTTTCTCCTACATTTAAAGAGCTAAACATTATATGGCTTTTAGTTTGGTGACGAGTACATCTAAAGTGGTTAATATTTATACGCTATACAAACTACCCAAAACACTAAACCAACCCTTGTAATATGGACTAACTCGTGTTTCTCTGATTTAGAGAATACGATGATTCCATTATCACTCTTCATCAAAATCCTGAATATTACCGTATATTGCAAGGCTACAATCTCCATATTTTTCTGTACAAAATGACTGCCTTAGATTCTTATCATATTTAGATTGTAACTAGCAGTGGAATTCATGACTCTCATGCCGTCGTATTTATTGGATATACGAGCAACCTTGTAGTCTGAATGGGAATAAATACCTTATAAAGATTTTTTGCCATACTGGAAACGCTACCCAGTATACTTCTGGTAGAATTAAGGCAACAGTCAGTCAGGCGTAGCGTAAAACCTAGCATATGTGTACATCGGTTCAAGACACCATACCCTATTAACACAGGTAGATGAAATTGCCGGTAACATAAAAGAATGAGCATACAGCTACATTTCTGTTCCCTCAAACTACAAGTGGACTTAGATCCTCTTTTGTCAGGAATAAACGTCATTTTTTTCTACGAGTTTCAGTTTTGCCGGGATTCTCATTCTAGCGAAAAAAGACTATGTACTTCCTATCAAATTACTCGTTTTTTTGATGACTGAAAAGAAACCTGGTATCAGAATCTGTGTAGCTTGACGCGAGGAAAAATGTAAACATTTTTGGGATATGGAAATCTAGTTGACCTTCCACACATGAAAATATTCCTTTGTACTAACAAATACATTTATTTCTATACAGGCGTACTTTCATCGGTGGTTTGTTAACGAAAGGCCAAAAATAACTAAATCTTGAAATTAATTAGTTTTGATACATCATGGTTCTTTTTACAATATTTTGTCAAATGAAGTACCCTAATGTTTTGTTTTGTAATCGTAAAAGTCATCTTTATCAATACTTCTAATTAGATTGTTTGATATGTTTATTTACACTGTTTTTATTACCAGGCACCTGAAAGTTTTATTCGACGAAACGCTATGCGGTTGCTTACAGTGCTTTCTATCAATCGTCTAAAAGATACTCAAAATGCTGTCCTTCAGTGTCGTACCGGAGTTTCAAAACTTGTGGATATACTTTCAGATACGCATGAAGTCTTACGGAATGATGTAAGTTTTACAGTAAACTATAATAAAAGATAATGCCTACCAGTTCGATCCCCTTCATTAAATGGATTCTAGTTTTTTTTTACATATATCGGTCACTTTTTTTATACTTGGGATTTTTAAGAATTTAAAGGAATTGTTTTGGTCTCATATTTTAAGGAAGTGTGATCCTACTAGACTATATTCTTTAAAGTTTGTCATCATTGTCATTTAAAACATCTTTATTCACATTTCAAAGTTTTGTTTTATTACAGGTTATACTTCTCCTAACAGAACTCACCAAGGCAAATGCGAACATCCAAAAAATAGTAGCCTTTGAAAATGCCTTCGATTGGTTACTGAAAATCATATATTCTGAAGGTCTGTGTGATGGTAGTGTGGTTGTAGAAGATTGTCTTCGTTTATTACTTCAATTGTTAGACGGTAATCCATCTAATCAAGTCTTGTTTGTCGAAGGGAATTTTATTCAGCGTCTTTCACTTCTATTTGACTTGTATTCTACTGATAGTGCACAGCCACAACTTTGGTCTGCACAGAAAGTTGTCAATGCGGAGGTAGCTATGCAGGTTAGTGTTGTTTGAACGTAACCGTCAAAATTTTCCAGTTGTATTCTTGTTTTTCAGTTGTTAAACTATTGGGTTTTATACCGCTTTCACTGCCAATATTTCTTCGACATTTTCAACACATTCGTACATAAGTGGCTGACAATTTTCGACACATCAATATTTATAGAACAACTTATTACTTTTATATTGGAGTACCTTCGCAAATGTAGTGTTTCTTATTTACAGTACAAAAGTTAACTGATTGCTATCTCACTAGGTGCATACAATTCATTTGTCCTTTTTGGGGTGTACATATGTCTTTTTTTTTCCTGATGGCTTATAAAATGCTTCTGTAAGATAATATTTCCCCCTTTTGAAATTGTCTTGACAATTCTATTTACAGCGTATTCGTTTCACTAGATTAGTGGAGATTCAATAAAATTTGTGGTTTAATAGTGCTGGTCCATCAACTTCTGCTTGAGAAAGATCATTTTGTACTAATATGATTCATTTGCAGATTACAGGTTTATGTACTCATCTTTTAGCCATAACATATATAAGTGAGCTTTTAAATTCACTCCTCACACCATTCCACGATCATAGTTTGTTACCAGTTATGTGCAAAAGAATAAGATCCCAGGATTTAGATTTTATTTCGTTATCTAAGATTTGAGAAATATTTTCGAATCAGTGTGTTATTCCGCAACAGGTAACGCATATTTTCAGTTACTTCGTTTCTAGTATGCTTTGGTAATAAAGTGTTGTTTGTTTCATTAAACATTTACTTGTTTTTGTTTTTGTACGTTATACGCACTTAGTTTTATGATGGTAATCTATTTGTATTTGAAATTAGGTTGTTCAAACCTTGGTAGCACCTTGTAATAAAGCTCAATTAACGCGAAACTGCCAAAATGTGATTTATGATTGTGGTCTTCTAGAAAAATTGTGTAATATTGTCATGATCAGTGGTGTTCCGGCAGATGTCCTGACAAAATCAATCTATGCTTTAGCAGACTCAATACGTGGATGCCCAAGAAATCAAGAATATTTAGCAAATTTAGTTACACCTTCAGAACCTCCTCAATCTGCTGTGAATGTGCTTCTCGTATCCATGTTAAATAAACATCAATCTGTAGTTGTGCGTGTAGCTGCGCTATACTGCTTTCAATGTTATCTTGCTTCCAATCATCAGGCACAGAATGCAGTTGTGATGACACTGCTGCCTAAACCTAATGATGGTATGTTTAGTTAAATGCTAAAATGTTGAATTATCTTAAAATGAAATCCTCAACTATACAATGAATTATCTTCAAAGGACAAAGCTATTGACTTCAATTTAGGTTGTGTCACTAAATTCAAATCTCAATTCAATAAAGTTGTGGATTAAAATTGACAATATGCATTAATGACTTACTAGAATAGTAACCACAGTCAGTAGCTCGTCAGTCACCAGTATTTCTTAAATCCTGTTAAACAGGTGTGTTGTATGTTCATTAGGCTAAGCGTCTCATATTACTCTTTACGTCATTAACTCCTATTGAGTAACATCATTTTTAGTACAGTGTTATATCGTATCGTTTAGCTTACCGGATTAGCCCCCAAATGCCGACCGTTAGTGGGTAGAGTCCGCTCTCCCTCTCGAAATGCTCTCACATGACCACGCGTATATAGCCTCTGCCAGGGAAGTCCTACTCACTGCCTTCTCGTGGCATTACTGTTGTTTACGGAATTGAGAGGACGAAAGCGAATGTCCGGCACTTCAACCGGGTTGGTATGAATCAATCGTTGGTCACTGGCTATTGTGGGACTGCATCTCCTCACGATGCTCCACTGCCTTGTGGATCAGACCTTTGGGTCAAAGGCTCCGGATGTGGCCCCCTGAGAAAACCCTCTACTTCAGTTGGGGCACCTGGACAGTATCATAGCTCTCACACTCATCAAATGAGATTTGTGTGGCTCATATATATCTGGTGCTTCCCTGTACCATTATTTATGTGTTTAAATAAATAAATAAAGCTTACCGGAATCATTGAATATTTATCAAATGACTACTGGTTTCTAAAGCACTTCGGATTTTTTCATGCTTGGTTTGAACTAAAGCATCTCGAAGAGTTTTAGTTGATTTATGGGAGATTTTCATTGCGATTTTATTATTAAAATTTTACCCAATACTCAATTTATTTGAATTTATCAGGTCTAACTTTATTATTGATATATATTAACTGATCCTCATTGTCGTTTAAAAGTAGTCATTTGGTTTTGATTTCAGTCCCACAACTTGGTGTTAGCGCTGGTCAGTTGCTTTGTGGAGGATTGTTTTCCAGTGATTCATCAGCTTGGTTTTCTTCAGTAGCTCTCCTTCATTGTATCCATGATAATGTACAGCTTAAAGAAGAACTTTTACGCGTACATTTATCTCCTAAAGAAGGAGCTCCATCTGTTACCCTTTTTCATCAATGCTTTATGTGGCAACAACAGGTTAGTAACAGTTAATTCAGCCTAAAATTTCATCATATAATGAAATTCTTTAGAATTTTGATTTTATGCAGCCAAAAGTTAATAATTTTAATTGACTTTCGAGAACTATCATTCCCATCTACGAAATCATCTTCCTCATAATATTCAAGATGCGTGTTCATTAAAAAAACCCACCTACTGCCCCGACGTGCAATGCTTTATGGTGTAGGAGTAGGTTGGAAGAAAGCTAGGGGCAGCCAGACCAAAACGTGGCATAAATCCATGAAGTCGCTGACAAGTGGACTGAGCCTTGTTGGTAGGTGTAGACTACCTGGTTGGGATTCGCGAGATGATAGCAACCGATGGTTAGAGACCTTGAATGACATGGCTCAAAATCGTTTGCAATGGCGAAGGTGCGTCCACTCTTTATGTTCTCCCGAATTCTAATTCTCTGAATTCCTCATGTCCCTATCCTTTTTCTCTTTTCAGATTTATCTCACTGTATTATACTCCTTCAATAACATCTTCGAACCCTTATCTTTCACATAATGCTTATGCTCTTACTACTTCTACCACTATGGGATTTGAATGGACAACTTCATCTCTGTGCTAATGTGGTATGGCAGCTCGAACTGATGTACGTACGTACGAAGTTCTACGTTGTGACTGACTGACTGACTGACTGACTGAAAAAACCCTTCATAACTTTAAAGTGGATTAAGTATGTTGTGTAACGAGTTGCTGGATTAGTTTTAAAACATCAGTCTAGATTAACCTAAACAGATATGTTTTTACTAGTATGGGCTAGTTAAGTTTTTAGTGGAAATGCTTGTCAAAATCAAAGTTCAGCTAGAAAATATTCTTATTGATCAATTTTTGTTAGTATTTGTGGGGACGGCCCCCGGTGAATTCAAGGAAGGTCTAAGAAGCTCTGAAAGAGCCGAAGACATTCCACCCAATCATCGTTTGGAAGGACATTCCAGAATCTCGACGTGTAGCTTCCCGATTGGACAAATACTGTAACCCACTACATGCGGATTGGATAACTGTAATGATGATTTCGTTTTTACTAAAAATTAAAAATACCTGAGTGGTCTGTACGATATTTGACACTGTTTGAAATAAGATATCTTCCCACTCGTCTTGTGACTTGCAACTTGGAGTGTTCAAGTGCTGAAGTTGTACGCACTTTGTAGATTTCACTGCTAGTCATTATAGAATCTTTTTCCTTCCATACTGTTTTACTTTCCACTCAAAAATTATTTTGTTTATCCAATTCATATACGTTTATGTAAGGAGATATTAAATCTCTAAATACAGTTTAGCAGGGAAAAGTTAAGTGAAAAATGATATATTGATTTTAAATATGATTTTCATTCTATTGATTTTCGTATTAATTCATTATGGATTCTGTTCATTAAGTTTTAGTGTAGAAAGTATGAAGTTGGTTTGTTTGATTTTCATCTCATTCCAATTGCATTAATTATTTCACCATGGTTTTACATCAAAGTAGTCATTGATCGTATTGATAAAATTCTGTAATTAATAGTCATTGGTTTTTATCGGTATGTAGTTTAGTTAGCTTCAATGTAACGAAAAGTCTTCTTGTGGTCGCTATCAAACACATCTTCTCTACAAGTCTCCTCTTTTTTATTTGCGTATGGATTGTTAACGTTGAGCTGTTGTAGTTCATTAGTCACCCATTCTGTTTAGTAACATGGATTTCCGTTCATTTGAGAAAAATCTCTCGACTATCTGTAGTTAGAATTACCATAATCATTTTGAAACATAAAAGTTTAATATCATTAAGACATAGTCGATGAAAATTGTCCGACCTACAGATAGTTCTCGTCACGAATTGACTTCAATATTCAAACCATTGAAAAAATGGCAAAGGTTGGACAGCGGATACTGACTTACTTACGCCCGTTACCTCTCGTGGAGGAGCATACGCCGCCCACCATCACTCTCCACCCAACCCTGTCCCCGGCAATCCTTCCCGCTTCTTTCCAGTTATTATTCATCCTTTTCACACCTGCTTCTATTTCCCGGCGTAATGTGTTCTTTGTCCTTCCTTTTTTCACTTTCTTTCCGGATTCCATGTTAGGGCTTGCCTCATGGCGCAGTTTGTTGATTTCCTCAATGTATGTTCTATCCACTTCCAACGTCTTTTCATAATTTCCTCTTCAGTGGGGATCTGGTTTGTCCTCTCCCATAAAACGCTGTTGCTGATAGTATCCGGCCAGTGAATGTTAAGTATTTTGCGTTGACAACTATTTATAAATACTTGTACCTTCTTGACGATGGATGTAGTAGTTCTCCATGTTTCAGCTCCGTACAGTAGGACTGTATTGACTTTCGTACTGAAGATTCTCCCTTTGGTATTGACTGACAGTTCTTTTGAGTTTCATACGTTGTTCAGTTATAAGAATGCGGTCCTTGCTTTGCCAATCCTCGCCTTTACGTCTGCATCCAATCCTCCTTGTTCATCAATGATGCTTCCCAGGTACGTAAATGTTTTCACATTTTCCAGAGTCGCTCCAACAAGTGTGATTGGGTTTTTGTTCTCCGTGTTGTATTTGAGGATCTTGCTTTTTCCTTTGTGTATGTCGAGGTCTATTGATGCATAGGCTGCTGCTACACTAGTTTTCTTCGTTTGCATTTGTTCGTGTGTATGAGATAGGAGGGATAGGTGATCTGTGAAGTACAAATCGTCTAATTGATTCTGAGATGTCCATTGTATTCTGTGCTTCCCCTTAGATGTCGAGGTTTTCATAATCCATTCAATCACCAAAAGAAAGAGGAAGGGGGAGAGTAGACAGCCTTCTCTGACTCCGGAAATGCATCTGTCAGCTGTCCTCCATGCACGACTTTGTACTTTAGTCCGTCGTATGAGCTGAATGATGTTGACAATGTTCTCAGGAACTTCATAGTGTCTAAGAAGTTTCCGTAATGGTCTCCTGTCCACATTGTCAAACGTCTTCTCATAGTCAATGAAGTTGATGTATAGTGATCAGTTCCACTCAACTAATTGTTTCACGATGGTCCGTAGTGTCGAGATTTGGTCTGTGCATGACCGATACTTGCGGAACCTAGCCGTTTGGTCTCGAAGTTGGGTGTCTACTGAGTCCTTCAACTGGTTCAGCAACACTGTTGAAAACTTTTCTTGGTAGTGACAGTAGTGTGTCACTTAGTCACAACGTAGTAGCGTGATGTCTCTGTAATTCTCACACTTGCTCAGATCTCCTTTCTTTGGTATCTTGATGAGGTATCCTTCTTTCCAGTCTGTTAACACTTGTTCTTACTCCCAAATCTTCTTCAATAGGAGGTGAAGAATGTTTGCAGTTATTTCAATGTCTGACTTCATTGCTTCAGCTGGTATATTGTCAGGTCCCACTGCTTTCCCATTCTTGATTTGTCTTATGGCCATCTTGATTTCTTCGATCGTTGGTGGAGTGACATCTATGGGAAGGTTTGTGTGTTCTGCTTCGATGTCCGGTGAACTCAATGGGGCTGGTCTATTCAGCAGTTCCTCTAAGTATTTTGCCCATCTTTTCCTCCATTCTTGAATCTCCATGGTCGTCTTTCCTTCCTTGTCCTTGAACGGTCTCTCTGATTTACTATACCTCCCTGCTAGTTTCTTCGTTGTATCATATAGTTGTTTGATATCTCCTTCCCTCGTTGCTAGTTCTCCCCGGTATTTTTGCTTGTCGGCTTTAATGCTCTTCTTCACTTGCTTGTTTACTTCTGCGTAGTTTGCTTGTGCCTTGACTTTCTCTGCTCGTGTTCGACTGTTGTTAATTGGTGTCTTCTTGTTCTTCATTTTTTTAATCTTGTCTGTCCAGGGTTCCCATAGAGATCCATTCCTTACGATGATACTTCTTGCAGCTCAGAACCTCCTGACACGTTGAAGTTAGTGCGTCTTTGATCCATTTCCAGTTGTTGTCCATCGTAGTTTCTTGTTCTTTCAGTAGACCTTGTAAAGCTTGGAACCTGTTGTTGATAATTATCTTGAATTCGTTCTGCTTGTCAGTATCTCGAAGGAAGGCTGTATTGAACCTTTGTGATGCTGTTTGTCCAGTTGTCCAGTGTTTCATTAGCTTCAGTCTCATCTTGGCCACAACCAGGTGGTTATCTGAAGCTATGTCAACTCCTCTCCTGGTTCTCACATCTTAAATTGTCCTTCGGAGATTTCGGAGACTTTCGAAGAATCTCAGCTTTCATCCTTAGGCGTCATAATTCTTCCTTCAACTCCCAGGGCTCTCTAGTTTTCTATGGTTCTGAAGCTGAAGTGGAGTTGTATCTATTTTAATTTTGTTCAATTCACTTTTAGCATGGTACCTGAAGTTCTTTTTTGTTATTATTTTTTATCATCAAATAATATGGGAACGGACGAACAAAGAAGAAAATGGGCATCTACATTTTCTCCATTTTGCTTAGTTCTACCTCATTTTTTATGTGTTCATGTGCAGAGGTGTATACCTTACGTTGTTGAATGCTACTGGATTCACATAGAATGACGATAAAAATCGTAACCTGGATGGCTGAATATACTATCATTTTATCATCTAATCGAAAATCAATCCTCTGAATAGTTCTTATATTTTTTTACACTTCTAGTGGTCTTTGTTAACTTACTTTCAATCGATACTTATATATATATATATATATATATATATATATATATATATATATATATAATGAAAAAGTATATCAGGTTTAATATCAGTAGTAATAGAAATCTAAAAGGAAGGGGCTAGAAAAAGATAATACAAACCAAAAAGATAAAAAAGTGAGTTAATTTGCTTCACTCAACGGATTTTGAGCCATGTTATGTAAAATCTCTGAATCTAACAAGAAATTTCGTACTTATTCTTAGAAATCCAACTAGTTGTCAATAATATCAACCTTACCTTCTTTTGTTAACAAGTTCCGGACAAAGTAGTATAGCAGGCCAATTTAAGTAATGGCTGTACTATGGTAAACATACTTAACTATTTCACTGTTGATGGCTGAACTACATGCTAATATGATGCTCCATTTGAATTTAAGGTATAGTTGAAAAGCACTTTCCAAAATCCTTGCATTATTCTTTATGGTATCCCAAAGATTTTTCATTATCTTCAACTTAGAGAACCATGCCTTGTACATGTTTTAGGTTATTTAGCAGTTCTTCAAGTAGACCAGTGATTGAGTAGTTAGAAAAAAAGACCTTTATGTTACTCAATGTTGGATAAGATTTTGTGTTATTATCTATGATGAATACCAACAGACGTAACCGCCTCAGGCATTAATTCGCCACAATCATTTATATGAGTACAACTTTCCGAAAAATCAATCTTTAGTGCTAGTGTGATGTAATTGTTAAACTTGTTTCGGTTATAGACATTACCATAAAACCGTTCGACGTGAAAATTCGAATATCTTTGTGCTAAGGAATATATATAGGGGATGTATCAAAGAGTATGGGACTAGAAATATCTGGCCAACAGCTGATGGAGACTTAAAACACTTGGTTTTCTCGAGGTCGTTGTTTTGCGGCACCGGGTAGATATGGGAAAATATAGATATCTGTGGTAACTCAAACTACTAGTTGTACCTGTCAAGATTTTAGTTGTGTAACATTCATTAAGTCAAACTAAAAAAATAGGCTTAATGGTAATGAGTTTTCCAACTTATATAAATCCTACGTATAAATACTTATTGTGTTCGTTTTTTCCCATATCTTCATCGCTTAGTTGCTCTGAGTTGTTCTTTGCACTGCTGCATCTGAAAGTCAGCTCGTAAAGATAAAACCATTATCTGTGATAAGTTCTAGCTGAGGATTATCTTATATCAATGTATTTATTAACGAAGATAGACTGGGAACTGTGTGATTTTGCGAATTGGTGAACGTAGTTGATGATTTCGAAAATTAAATTACAATTGGGGAAATATATCAAGTCTCCATCTTCCCTGGTACCGTAACCGTTTTATTCACTGTTTGTTCAACTGTTGTAGTTCGTTTTAATTATTACTTCAACAGATTTTCTAAATAGAGGAGCTTGAAGTGTCGTGAGTTTTATAGTGTTTTGTTACGCAAATCTTCTGATAAATTGGCTTCATTAATCACAGCATTTACAATATCAGCACAAATATGGAGGATTGTGTTGGCCTTATTTAGAACGGTGGGGTGTGCCTATTCAGGACAGCAAAACACTTCTTTTCAAGAAAGCAGAGGTCTATATCCTGTGGTGTCAGAAAACTACGGGAATGTTTTGTCTCTCTCCTATGTGTAGTTTTTCTCAGTTTCTTCTATTTATGCAATTGTTTGCCGATACGGAGAAAGTTGTCATAACATTCTAATTTGTTGATATTTTTACTTATGTCTATCTACGTTGTCATAAAACCTCATTTATTACTCTATTCTTTGTATTAAAAGTCTGTCTGATGAAGTTCCAGCTTCACTTACTGTAGCTACTTATTTATAAGACGACAAGCGTTTTAGGGAACTATATAACTCAATGTTTACATGACTTTTGTTTTTATTTTTTTTATAAGATTTGATATTCAGTTTATATATATTGCCGTAAAACCGCAGTCATTATTTTGTTTCACGTAATAAAACTGTTACATCAATTTTCCGCTTCATATACTACAGCTATTTATTAACCTAAGGTAGGAAATTATTTGAGAAATTATGTAATTCAATGTGAATATAACAGTTGCTTTTATTTATAATTGCAATATTGTTATTAGATTTGAACTTAGTATTCATTTAGGACTTGAGAGATTCAATATATAATATCAGTCCACTAATGTAAACTTTTCTAACTAGTGCGTCAACTATTGCCTTGTTGAATTTACAAATTACAAATAGTATTACCATACGCGATCTTATATTTCAAATGTCACACTCGTGAAAAAGACGTATTTTTCAAGTGTTATTGATCAAAGAATTCTGCTTTTAACCCCGGTAGCTTATAAGCTGGAATCTAGCTGCTTCAATTCGATCGCGTAACCGGGTAGTGTAATTAACTCTCAACGTATTTTGTTTCTCTTTATTTATTTATCAAATTAAAACAGTGTAATCATTTTCAAACTCGCATGGGTTTACTGCAATTATTATGTACTTGGTTCACAAACTGTTCTGAAGCAGTAAGATGTTTTTTAAATCCATCACCCAGTACAGGAAATGATCGGACAGAATCAGTGAATCGTAGCTCGTATTTATGGACTCTTATTGCAGAAGCGTGTGCAGTGGATAATGACGAAAATGAAGCATTAGTTCACGGTTTGACTACATTATTAGTTTGCATTTGTGTAATGTACAATCCTGGGAATGTCAATGGATTTGAAAAGTAATTATTTGTTGTTATTGTTTAGTCATATGAATTTTCTCGTTTTTTAAGCAGTGTTAGGTTTTTCTAATTTCTTATTTATACAAGGTTTTAATTTCTAACCAAAAAGAAGGTAACCGTTTTTGAGTTTTGATTAGGAAATGTTTTACTTCGTGGTTGTGGACACTGTAGGGGTCAGAGCTTGACATGAATATTTTATTCATATCACTGGTACGTTTGTTAGTAAACTTAAGGTATACAAAATAACTTGGTCAATTTCCAACTTTATTGGTTTTTAGGATAATTAATAGAATTTTAAGTGTATTCATTGAAAGTATCTATTTTGAAGGTTCCCTACATCCACAAACAAACTGCTGTGTAATTACTACAATATCTTAGGGTTTTACAGGAAATTAGTTGAAGCAGTTGTGAACCTGTATTGACGAAAGTGGTTGTGAAGTCTAAGTATTTAGTCGCAAAACACTCTGATATGTTTCTCCAGTCGAAGTAGGCTGGAAGAAGCGTTAAGATAATTAGATAGAGACATGGGATCTACTCATGAAGTCACTGATTTTTGATGAGAACATCAGAAACCCCTGTGGTTGGAGTTCGGATTGTAACCGGTAAGAATATACATTGAAAGATGAGAAAATGGAAGCGCATCTCAGAAACTAGTGTATTAGTGTTTATTAGTTTAAGAATTATGTCTATCATTAGAACCAATAACATCATTTGACTGCTCGGAAGTCGATAAGTGCAACACAATTTCAGCTCTGTAATCCCGTAGGCAAAGTCAAACGATAAAACCATTCAGTTACGGCTTCTTAAGATGACGTACTCCAAGATCAGTATCACTAACTTGCTTATATTTACTATTGACTTTTTGACGAGACCGATGCTTTTTTGGATTATTCCTGTGTGTTATTTCATACCTTCCTTGTTAATATTTCGTGTACTATGTTGTTATAACTTGTGGCCGAGTGGATGCCTAGTTAATGTATGACGTGATAAAACCGCCAATCAGAGAGCACCAGTTATCGATTGGAACAGTGACACACGAAAACCGTACGAGCAGTCTAGAGCGCTTATCGATCCTGCTTCAGCCTAGCTTAGCCAGTTAAGTCCAAAACACCAATAACAGCCTCTGTGGTATGAATCCTTGTATTTCAAACATACTGAGTTTATATACCAAACAGACTGACCACAACGTACCGATAAAATAGAGAATAACATTTGTACAAGAGTTAGCCAAATGTGGCTGTGAATAGGGGGAGCAGTAATTAATAGACTGGGTATAACTCAGGAATGGTAAATCGTACAATAATAGTCCAAGGGTCAAGATAAAACTCACAATGAAAGGAACATGAATATGAGTAGTTTAATTATTTAGCAAATATACGATAAAAATTATATGCATAATATTGGTCCATAAATGGATCCTAAAGTTACCATTCACTATTGTTATCAGGGCATAACAAATGTATTACAAATTGAACTGATGAACTGGTATGTTGGTTTTTTAAACGCCTTTGTCAGTTAGTCGGACAGCAACTGCATGGATTATCTCGCAATAGTCCAAACTGTAACAAGCTACAATTTAAAACTTAATTCATTTAAATGACATAATAATACAGTTTATCTACAGCATTGATCAGCAAATAAATCAAATCTGACTCGTCATCATATTCTGTATGACGCTTGTAATTACTTAGAAGTATGAGTAAAAGCGGTCAACGGCGAAATAATTTAAGGGAAACATATCACTTTGTACTAAGATTTTTTAAAGTTAAATTCCTAACTAAACCTATAATACTGACATGAAGTATATAGATGATATTTCTGATATCTGCCCAGGGAAATAATTACTAGTATTTAAACCTAAAGAATAAATTTTCGCAATGTTTTTCAGATTTCTGGGTTTGTATCACAGTTTAATTTAGTGACCTCTTTATTTTCCTTTGGTAATCCTAACCGTTAGATGAAACTAATAGAAATGAAAGTTAACAATATTCTTTTTATATGTTTCAAACATGCAACATTGACTGAATTCGATTGGTCGTTAACGATATATGAGTTTCATGATTTGAAATATTTTGCTTTTAAAATATCTGCGGTTTTTAAATCAACTTACCTTTGTGAACAAGGATTTTCTCGAATGATTTTCAATGAATTCAATTTTGGATTTTGACCCATTACAACAAGTAAAGTGATCTATGGTGATTGCAGCGCATTAGGGAAAAAAACTATACACAGTTGTACCAGTTTCATTTACAATGTTACGTTGATAACTCCGCTGATTGTGTAACTAAGTAGTATTTTCTAAAAAAAAAGAATTATAACTTAACTAAAAACACTTTGATATTTTATATGTCGCATGTCTGAAGTGTTTGTGTTCGTGCAACCGTTCAGTAAACGATTTGCTCTCACCTCTAGTCTTTTTTTTTAACCTAAATGTGGACGTAAATCTTGAAAAAAAACATTTATACCTATCATGTTTTTATTAGACAATAAATAAAAGCTAAATGTACTCTACATAAGTTTTTATTACTTATTATTGTCTATAGTTTTGGTGTTGTTTTAATTAACAGTTAATTATACTATCCTCGTTTTCAAATGAATGTACGCATACTGTCGTATTTTCCAATGTAGAGTTTACATTAATTCCGCTTAAATAAATATGAAATTGATTGATTTTTTCACTGTTGAATAATTTATTACCTTATTTTTCCACTTAATAAACATTTTTAAAGTGAACTTATTTGTCAACATCAATAATAAATGAGATTTAATTTTAGTTTATTAACTGGATCTTGTTAAGTGCTTAAACTTATCTTTTCGAAAAAAGTTTTCTTCCTGCAGTCTGATATTGATTGGTAATTTCTTTATTTAATTACTAAGACTCTCAGTTCGTTGATTTGTATCATAATCAAATGCGTTGTCCAACCAACCTACTTGAAACCACTAAGTTCCTCGTTCAAGCCCTGCCCAATTGAACTGGTTCAAAAATTCGTTTGGTATTGTTAATTTTCACAGTTGAATAGGTCTAGCTTATCATTTTGTGTAAGAACTTTTACATGGTTAGTCATTTACTTGTATTCTTGTAATACTGACAGTGATTTGTAAACCTCTAACAATCGAGATCTTTCTTACTTCGTACTCACTGTGAATTTCGTTCCGGGAAGTGGTTTAACCATGAAATCATTAGTTGAAGTTCGTAATCTGATAAAGTTGTAACTTAATAGTTTAGGTAATCTCCTTTCTCAATCATTATGTTTCAAGTTTAAAACCTACTCCATATACTCTTGTTTTGTTATCTATATAGTACCATACGTTATCACTCAATAGGTATAGTCCTGAGTTTAAGACACAAAAACGTTTTGATATGATTAAATATTAACAAGTTTACGTTTTACTGTAAAGAATGTTGATAATTCAAGAGCATTTGGAGAAAAAATATCATACAATCATTCATTTGTTTGTTAAACTTATTGATCCGTTTTGTTTTTCTCTTTAAACTCTAGATCAACATTATATAATGCCCTAGAGAAACGTATCGGTATAGATATGATTTTAGAACGTCTAAGTCAAATATCCAAAGCTGAATCATTTATTACAGCTTCAAAAAAACCTCAAATATCTGTTCAGTCTACTGATGATTTAATATTTGATTACACATTCACACGTTTATTCAAACGATTAGAATGTAAGTCTTTATTATTTTCTTAGTGATTCATTTACTACGGTAATGATTTACACTATTGACAATTTTGTTTCAATGTTTAAACGATTTTATGAAATAGAAGAAATGTTTTAGTGAATTTAGTCGGTAGATTATTTAAACAAAAACTGACTAATGAAAATCAGTTTTTTTTAGGCTCATTATTGAACAGGAACTGTTTATGTTGGGTCCCAAATGTAATGAGTAGTAGGAGAATTGATCAGTAGTATCTAACCAATAATAAATACTATTCCTAGTTGTGATTTATCAAAGTTTGATTTGAAATTAAAACATTTGGTTGGTTAACGTGTCTTTTGATGTTTGTTTAGTAATATCTTAGAAAGCAGTAGCCAATTACATGTTTATAACCAAGTCTTTATCCCATAATCATTGTTTGAAGATCAGGTACAATACTGGACACGTCAAGTTTAACTTAGCATAGAGTTGACCCTAAATTTTTGACAAGTTGACTTAATAATGAATACTTAGACCGTTAAGTCGATAGCATACTTTCTTTTGGTGCACAAAGTGGGTTGGTCTGTGCCGTGGTGAAGATTTCAGTATATTTATAGTCTTTCTACTAACTTCCAAAATAGGAAATTATATATTTTTTAATTTGTCTTTTAATTCTTTTCATGTGAAACAGTATTGTAAGTAAAATATATAAAACTATCAATATTGTCTTATCACTTTCATTGTAATACGTTTTACTGCCAGCTAAACTTCATCCGGTTAATGCGCTTTTCTGATTTTTGTTAATAACCTTTGTTATATACAGCTAGACCTAAATTGTGAGTAAATTTAGTTAAGAAGCTTTTCTGAACTATATAAAAGTGATGCATATGATACCCCTTTTATTGATTAATTATTCATTTGTTTATTTAGATGAAGTAATGCATACATTCCAGTCGGACAGTAGTATTAATGGAGTTAAGAGTTGTACTTCATTTGGTAACAATCACCAAAATAGTAAACCTGTTGATCCTACAATTACAACATTAAGTCAACAACAATATGATGAAAAGTTGGCAAGACAAGAGAATGAGATAGCAATGTTGCGTAATCGTATAAGTGCATTAGAATCTGAGCTGAATACTTGTCTTTCTACAATTAATGGTAATACTCCAACTGATACAAAGCGGAATAATATGATCAATGAAGGTGAACTACAAAGTGAGTCTGGATTAACAATGTACGGTTTCAAGATGAATTCCCTCTTTATTTTACAAAATAGTTATAACTTGGTCCGATCATTCAGATTTCATTGGTTCAGCTGGGTTTTTTATGCGAGAAATTTTTCATCACTTTTCTCGTTCATTCATGTGAGATTAGCTTAAATTAAGATGATGCAGAATTACCCAAACTACTGTCTACCTCGGCATACTATTGTTGTGTATACTTATTGTGTTGACAGATATAAGTAGTATGTAACACCAACTTGAAGTGAAAACCCTGACAGCAGAAGGCTGAGATCAAGTTGAAAAGAATAGAAAGGGAAATAGAAAGGAATCGAGAATAGGAAGGATCATACAGAATGTGAAGGACAAATGAAGTATTCAATGCGCGGTTTTAATATTTTACCAAGATATTCTGTGATTTTGTATTAAAGTACATTGGTTGTCCCCACCTGTGTTATCGTTCAGAACACTGTGTGTTGATCGTAATTGGAGTAATCTGAGAAAAATACTTAAGGTTAAGAGATCAATACATAATATCAATCTATGAAATTATTAGCTGTTTGTCGTAATATTTCAATTGAATTCATTACCTGTCTTCATCTAGATCTTGAGTTATCATTTATAACTCACTATTTTTTATTTGATTTCTTCCTTTCGAATCGTGCTTTTTATAAGCAGTGATATATATATATATATATATATATATATATATATATGGTGGCTAGCAGTGGAATCCAGGACGTGCGTTTTGTTTAGGACTCGTTAACTATATGTGCTTGTTCAAGTCAATACAAATGAATTGTGCTTCTTATGTTTAGGTGTCCATTAGAGCTTAAATTAGTCCATCTGTTTTCCTTTTCATCCTGTAAATTTCCTCTTTCTATAAGCCGATAGTCAGATGTGCCAACTTGAACAGATACATATTTGTTGAGGACGTTAGGTCCCCAGAACTAGCTTGGAAAAAGTCCTAATTTTGTAATTTTATTCCGAAAAATTTTATTTTATGTTTTTCCGCCAAGAGACGCTTACATTTCTCACTCGGAAATCCTTAACTGGCATTGGCTGGCGGATTTTTTCAGTACTCTATTTCGTGGCTCTCCCAAGGGCGTTTCTATCATTGCATAAATAAGCTTGATTTGTATGCTTAGTGACCTCGTATTTTGTGGGGGCTTGTTGAATACATTCTGTACGCCTCATCAATACATCTTGATCTAGTTAACAGGGCCGGGGACAACAGATTAGAGTAGCTTATCATGTTATTGTAGCTTTGAAATTCGTTCCTTTTACCAAGTAAGGTGAACTCATAATAGCATCAAGCATATCAATATTCATGTCAGCTGTTACGTTGAAGATGACTGACTGCATGAGATAATCTATAAGTTGCATATTATTCATTGCTAACTATTTACGGATTTTAATGACTTCTTGTTTATTCCTTACTTTTCCCAGTTAAATAACTATTTAATATCTTAATTATTATCCTTGTATCTATCTTTATAGTCAATTAAACATTTTTTTCTATATATACATAATAGTTATTTTTACGACATTTCCTGCTTTATTTTCTAGAGTTAACCATAACTGACAATATTACTATTCAGGTAAGTTTTCAGTTTTAACTTAAATTAATATTTCTAAAAAGAAGTATAAATAATTATTGTAAAATTATGTTAATAATAATAATAATAGTAATATTGTAGTGTGGTCTACTTATATCTATATAAGTAGTATATGGCTATGGTCAGACATAGAATGTATTTTGGCAGAAAATCGATAAGGAAAGAACTGAAATGAATTGCAATTGGTAGGAAAATGCATGAACAATGGAACTAGAGAATATGAACCGATATTTACAGTAGGAACAGTGAAGATTGAGATAATTGGTTGTTATTTTGTAAATTAACTGTTTGCTGTATAGTTATCAGAATTTAGTAAGAGAGTCTGTAATTTGTGCTTAAATACATTCGATTGTCCCCAACTTGTGTTCTCATTCGCTACAATAATAATAATAATAATAATAATAATAATAAAATAATTATTCCTAGTTATTAATTTTAATTTATTGAATAATTGTTTTGTGTTGATTTATTAGGTAGATAAATAAATTGCAATCAATAAGGGAAATTATTTATGACAAACCATTTTTTTAATGTTTTATTCATTGTTATACATTGTTGTAGTACTGCTACTTATTATTGTTTTATTATCGAAACGATGTTATTCAAAATGTATTTATGCATTATTCTTTAGTGTAAGAGTGGAAAGAGTAATCAAAATACACAAACCAATTTCTCTTATTACAAATCATTAGTAACTGTTGATTTCTTTCTGTTCCATTCATGGTTATTTGTAGAGTATCATACTGTTCTACCGACAGTTTTTGATAGTGTATCATTCTTTACCTAATAAATCGCCGTTATTATCATTTCTGTTAATCAGCAGCTGCAGCTCAGCTCAGCTTTGCCTGTTACTCCCAATGGAGCATAGGCCGCCGACCAGCTTTCTCCAACCCACTCTGTCCTGGGCTTCCTTTTCTAGTTCTATCCAGTTCTTGTTCATTCTTCTCATGTCTGTCTCTATTTCTCGGCGTAATGTGTTCTTTGGTCTTCCTCTTCTCCGTTGACCTTCAGGATTCCATGTGAGGGCTTGTCTTGTGACGCAATTAGCTGATTTCCTCGAAGTGTGCCCAATCCACTTCCAGTGCTTCTTCCTGGTTTCTTCCTCCGCTAAAATCTGGTTTGTTCTCTCCCACAGTAACTTATTGCTGATAGTGTCTGGCCATCGGATCCGAAGTATTTTGCGTAGACAGCTGTTGATGAACACTTGTATCTTCTGGATAATGGCTTTCGTAGTTCTCCACGTCTCCGCCCCATACAGTAGAACTGTCTTGACATTTGTATTGAAAATTCTAACCTTGGTGTTGGTTGACAATTGTTTTGAACTCCAGATGCTTTTCAGTTTTAAGTATGCTGCTCTTGCTTTGCCGATCCGCGCCCTCACATCTGTATCTGATCCACCGTGTTCATCAATGATGCTGTCCAGATATGTAAAGGTTTCCACATCCTCCAAAGCATCTCCGTCAAGTGTAATTTGATTGGTGCATATTGTATTGTATCGGAGAGTCTTGCTTTTCCCTTTGTTTATATTGAGACCTACTGCTGCTGAGGCTGCTGCTACACTGGTCGTTTTCTCCTGCATTTGTTGTTGCGTTTGTGATAGAAGAGCCAGATCATCCGCGAAGTATAAATCGTCAAGCTGCATCCTGCCTGTCCATTGTATCCCGTGATTTCCTCCAGATGTTGACGTCTTCATGATCCAGTCGATCACCAGGAGAAAGAGAAAGGGTGAGAGTGAGCAACCTTGCCTAACACCGGTCTTTACTTCAAACGAGTCGGTGAGTTGTCCTCCGTGGACAATTTGGCAGTTTAGTCCATCATAGGAGTTCCGTATGATATTGACTATCTTCTCAGGCACGCCGTAGTGTCGAAGAAGCTTCCATAGTGTCGTCCTGTCCACGCTATCAAATGCCTTTTCGTAGTCGATGAAGTTGATGTAGAGCGATGAATTTCATTCGATTGATTCTTCCACAATGATCCGCAGAGTTGCGATTTGATCTGTGCACGATCTATCCTTACGAAATCCAGTTTGTTGATCTCGAAGTTGAGCGTCCACTGAATCCTTCATCCTGTTTAACAATACTCGGTTGAAGACTTTTCCTGGTATTGAGAGAAGAGTGATGCCCCTGTAGTTGTCGCACTTGCTGAGATCGCCTTTCTTTGGTATCTTGATCAGAAGTCCTTTTTTCCAGTCTATTGGTACTTGTACTTCGTCCCAAATCTTACTGAAGAGGATGTGGAATATCTTGGCAGTTGCTGTTACATTTGCTTTCAGTGCCTCTGCCGGGATGTTGTCTGGTCCCGCTGCTTTGTCGCTCTTGATTTGTCTAATGGCCATGCTGATCTCTTCAATTGTTGGTGGGCCAATATCGATTGGAAGGTCCGTGGGTGCTGCTTCGATGTTGGGTGGGTTCAGTGGAGCTGGTCGATTCAAGAGTTCCTTGAAGTGTTCTACCCACCTGTTTCGTTGTTCTTCAATGTCGGTGATTACTTTGCCTTCCTTGATTTTCACTGGTCTTTCTGGCTTACGGTGATTTCCAGCATGTTTCTTTGTTGTATCATACAATTGTCTCATGTTTCCCTCTCTTACAGCCTTTTCCGCTGTCGTTGCTAAATCTTCCACATGTTTACGTTTGTCGGTTCTGATGCTCCTCTTCACTTGCTTGTTTGCCTCTGTGTATTCGGCTTGTGCCTTGGCTTTTTCCGCTCTGGTTCGGCTGGTGTTGATTGCTGCCTTCTTGTTCCTCCTTGCTTCAATCTTATCCATTGTACCAACAGTGATCCATTCCTTGTGATGGTGCTTCTTTTGGCCCAGAACCTCCTGACACGTTGAAACGATTGCCTCCTTGATACCTTTCCAGTTGCTCTCCATGGTAGTCCCCTCTCCATTGAGTAGGTCATGAAAGGCCTGGAACCTGTTACTGAGGGCTATGTTGAATTTGTTGAGTTTGTCAGCATCTCGAAGAAAGGCCGTATTAAACTTTTGTGATGTTGTTCGCGCCGTTGTCCAGTGCTTCTTAAGTTTTAGTTTCATCTTGGCGACCAGCAAATGATGATCGGATGCTATATCAGCTCCTCTTCTGGTTCTCACATCCTCCATCGCCCTCCTGAACTTTTTGTTGATGCAGATATGGTCGATTTGATTCTGTGTAGTGTGATCCGGTGAAATCCAAGTGGCTTTGTGTATGTTTTTGTGTGGAAATATGGTGCCACCTATGACCAGTTTATTGAAGGCACATAGGTTTGCAAATCTCTCACCATTTTCGTTCCTTCCTCCCAGTCCATGTTGTCCCATGACGTCTTCATATCCAGTGTTGTCCATTCCAACCTTAGCATTGAGATCTCCCATCAGAATGGTCAGGTCCTTGTTTGGGCACTTCTCGACGATCGACTGCAGCCTATCGTAGAATTGGTCTTTAGCGTCTTCATCGTAGTCATTGGTAGGCGCATAGCATTGGATGACGTTCATTGTAATGCCCTATCTCTTTGTTTTGAAGGAGGCTTTGATGATCCTTGGTCCATGAGATTCCCATCCTATAAGTGCATTTTGTGCTTTTCTGGACAGCATCAATGCCACTCCTTATGTATGTGGGGCATTTTCTTCTTCATGACCGGAGTATAACAGAAGTTCTCCTGAAGACAGTCGTTGTTGTCCAACCTGCGTCCAATGTGTTTCGCTGATTCCACGAACCTCCAGGTTGTATTTTCTCATTTCTGCAGCAATTTGGAAGACTCTTCCGGTCTCCCACATTGTTCGGACATTCCATGTACCTATAAAAATTGTCGCTCTGGTTGCAAGAAGGTGCATCGGCCTCATGACTTCCGAATGAACTCGGCTTTCATCATGAGACGTCATAATTATTCCTTCTACTCCCAGGGCAGAGTTTGAAAGGTTTGAATGATTTTTCTGGTTAGCGTTTTTTTAGCGAGTTGATTTTCTACGGGTTGGGGTCGCTAACCCCATGCCCAACCCTCCTCCTTTACCCGGGCTTGGGACCGGCAGTAACCCCCAGAGGAGCTACAGGCGGAGTTATTTCTGTTAATCAGTATCTTCGTAATTCTATAACGAACACATTTAATTAATAATATTGTGGATGATTCGCCGATAACCTATATGAAATATAATAGGTTTCAAAAAGACAGTCAATCTTTAAATTTGTGACTGTTAACCACATTTTTTGTTTGGTTGTTTTCTGAACTTTCATCTAAACAATGTCTTAGTCGCTATATCTCTCCTTACTAATAATAACATCAGGGAAGATAAGGAACGGTGTCTATTATCTATGTATTTCGGTTCATATAGGACCTGCTAACTGAATTTACTTTGTTAATCTTTCGTTTGAAATCATTTACACATAAGGATACGTACCTAAAACATATTTACCAAGTACATATGTTTCATGTATGGTAACAATCCGATTGACTCGGGCGACATAGGGAAAATGCATCTGAATCTGGTGATTGAAAGGTAAATGCTTCAATGGCAGTAAGCTGTTTCTTGTTGAAATCTGGCATAAAACAGTACTGATTTTTATCTCGTCTTTGTGAATCATAAAAGTAAAGTAATTAGATTGTTTTGTAAAGTTTATTTATTATTTATTTAGACACCTAAATATTGGTACAAGGAAGCACCAGATACATATGCGCCGCACAAATCTCATTCGATTTGTGTGAGGGCTGTGATACTGCCCAGGTGCCCAAACTGAAGCAGGTGGTTTTCCTAGGGGGCCACACCCGGGGCCTTCGACCTGAAGGTCTAATCCACAAGGCAGTGGAGCATCGTAAGGAGAGGCAGTCCCATAATAGCCGATGACCAACGATTGATTCATACGCCATTTGTTCCCTCGGGATGCTTTAGCCCATGTGCACCATTGGTTTGGAATCAGGGTTTTCCAACTCCCCTAGGTGAACTCTCTATGTCCACCAACCCGGTTAAAGCGCCGGACATTCGCTTTTCGTTCTCTCAATTTCGTAAACAACAGTAGTGCCACGAGAAGATAGTGAGTAGGACTTCCCTGACAGAGGCTATATACGCGTGGTGGTTTGAGAGCATTTGGAGAGGGAGAGTGGACTCTTCCCACTCTCGGCCGTACCAGGGCATTTGGGGCAAATGTTTTGTAAAGAATTATTAGATAATCACTGCCGTAAGATTTTCTCGACTTTAACCAGAAACATTAACAGAAGTGCAATTATACAAATTCAAATATCTAACTAAGAATGTCTAGTATAAGAATCGGAATTTTGAATGGATATATATGTTTTTCTAAATATCCCAATTTGTGATGTCATTATTTGTAACTATTCCTCTTGTAGTGATCGAAAACACAAGCAGAGAAAACCAAATGTATTTGAATACAAAATTACGAAATTTCTTAGTAAAATCTGACAACCATACAGTAAATGCTTCATTTGCAAAATGTCCATCTATTATATGGGACTTTGTCGTTCCTTTCTTTTCCATATAAATCACTCTCTGTCCTGGTTCTCTTCAATTTTCTCAACCTTCTGCCTCCAGGCATTCTACCTTCTAACGGTGCTACATGGTACTTATATCTATCGTCATCAGTAGTACACATCATACTATTAGTATTATTCTTTCTTTTTAATTTACCCTTCAACAACATAATTCCTTTTTTTGTTTTACAATGATGCATTAAAGGGAATCTATCCATCAGTCAGTCAGTTATGCTATTTAACCTGAAACTAATTTGCTACCTAATAGTTTTTGAGCACATTTATGTTATCGTTCGTTAATAAATAGTTAAGGTTTTTCATTATTGTTAATGTCGTTATTTTTTTTCTTTAGTAAAAGCACCGTTTTACACAATGTGTGTGTCGTATATTTTTCTCTTTTCTCTAACCCTTTCCCCTCAAATCCCATTATTTTCTAGAATTTAGAACAGAAGTGTTCAATGCTTGAAAAAGAACGTGATAATCTACGTGGTGAACATGAAGATTTATTATTACTTCTAAATGATCAAGATGTGAAAATTATGAAATTGTGTAAACTTGTTAGAGAGTTAGGAGGTCATGTAAGTTGATAGTGATGAAGTATTGATTTATCTACTGTTAAATCTATTATTATTATTATCTCTTCCTCTAGTGAGGCGGTGGGCTACTGGTTATAGAACTCCCATGGTAACCGTTGACCAACAGTTGTTTCATACTCCATTTGTCCCTTCAGGATCCTGGAGCCCATGTGCACTATTGGTTTGTAATCAGGTTTTTCCAACTCCTTTAGGTGAACTTTCCATGTCAGCCGACCCGGCTAAAGCACCGGACATTCACTTTTCATCCTCTCGATTTCGTAAACAACAGTAATGCCACGAGAAGGCAGTGAGTAGGACTTCCCTAGCGGTGGTTGTATATACGTGGCCATATGAGAGCATTTGGAGAGGGAGAGTGGACTCTCCCCACTCTCGGCCGTACCAGAGCATTTGGGGGCAAGTAAATTATCATTAATTCTACATGTAGAGTGAATTTGTTCAAATTAGATGTTCTAGTAAAGTAGGACATCAAATCCGAGTTCTAGAAATGTTATTGTCAAAAATACTGAAGCACATCTAGTATTTATTTGTAATTATCTGAATTTTAAAACAGTACTTGATGATTTTCAGTGTTAGCAACAACATTTAAAAAAAATGAAAGAAATCAACGGTGTTTTTGTGTGTCCACTTTCTAGTTATTTTTGATTTGTCAAGGCCATAAAATATATCAAGTTTCCTTTACATTTCCCAAGAAAAAAAACACCCTAAATTATTGTGTTATATATTTCATCGTTGTATTTCAAAATTATTTTTTTTGGCAGATACCAAACGATATTGGATTAGGTAATGTTATTAATTCACAAGTTACAGATAATCATCATAATCAATTAAGTGAAGAAAATACTAATCAATCACTATCCACTTTTCAAACAATTCCATCAACTCTTCCATTAGATACATTACAATGTCCAACAAATTTCTCATTTACAACTTCTGAACTAATTTTATCATCTAATTCAATAAATATTTCAACACCATCATCATATTGTGTGTACAATAATAATAATTTACTTCATACATCACCACCTCCATTATTATCTCATACTAATTCTACACAAAATGTAATCATGTCAACAACAACACCATCAACAAATCAATATTACTATCCACAGGGATATTTTAATGCTGTAACACAAAACTATCCATGTTCACAATCATCCAATTCAGTAATATTTTATTCTACTAATAATTATCCAATAGTATCATCGAATTCATTCAATAATGATCATTTGAATTCATATACAAATACCACAATATTTCAATGATAAATAATAATAAAACTTTAATTGAGAAAAGGATAAATTTAAGGAATTCGGACATTATACATTTGAGCAAAATTGTTTTAATTGTACATTGCTTTAATGCATCACATATGAAAACAAAATGATGCATATATTTCTCTTATTTGATTCATTCCGCTATGTAAATGCATCAATCTACCTTATTTAACTGTTAATTTGTTTAACTTTCTTTTATACGATTTTCTTTTTTTTTTCATTTGATATTTTAGGTTAGATGTTTCCTCTTTTTTCTAAATGAACCCCCCCCCCAAAAAAAATATTGTGTTGTGCTTATTATTATATCCTTAAATTCTTTTCTTTTTCTCAATATTTTCTAATATAAAAAAGTTGTTTGTTTTCAGGAAAAGAAATGATTTTTTTAAAAAAAACTTGATTTATACGTGGATAGTTGTAGGGCAGGGTCAACGTTGAAAATAGGACTGTTTTTATTGATTTTATACACTCAATAATTAGTTGCTCTATTCTCCTGCATATCTACATTCCATCAGTCAGTCAGCCAGCTGCAACGTAGAATGAGGTACATTATACATCTGTCTAATTTGTCATACCTCATTAACACAACAAGATAAACACCAAGTTTATCGAAGTAGTTACTTCAATGGTAGTAATATGTAAAAGAAAGACTGTGTATAAGGATATATTACAGGACGAAAGATTTAGTTGGCAGAAAGAAAGACATTAATCAATTTAAATCCGACAGTTTAAGGGAAGACATGGAGTGTATACACCTACACCATTGTGATCGATTTCGAGCCATGTCACACAGAGTCTCCAACCATTGGTTACGATAGTTACGCGGACCCCAACCAATTAGTCTGAATCTACCGACATGGCTCAAAATAGAAGTTAGTGACTTCAAGCACTGATGCCATGTTTTGGTTTGGCCGCCCCTAACTCTCTTCCAACCATCCCCAACACTAGTCGGCGTTGCACGTTGTGGTAATCGGTGTTTAGGCATGGCCCAACCATCTCAGTCGATAAAGATCCACAACCTCATCAATTGATTTACTATCATTCCCTAATACCCTGTGTCTAACCTCACTATTACTTACCGGGTGATCTCAGCAGATGCGAGCAATATTTCTGAGGCATCTGCGATCAAATACTAGTAAATTACGAGTATCTTCTACTCTCAATGGCCACATTTCGCAGCCGTAAAATAGAACAGAACGAACTGCAGCGCAGTGTGCTCGTCCCTTAATTAATAGGCGGATATATCGCCCCCGTCATAGGTTATGTAAGTTGGCAAAAGCCAAACAAGCTTTTTGAATCCGTGTAGAGATTTCGTCAGACACTAACTCATTGGAGCTCATCGGACTTCACTTTCTATCCTTCAGGCCAGTCCTGAAGCAACGACTTGCACTTAGAGGGGAGGAGACACTTTCCAAACATCCTGGTATTGTTTGCTCAGGGCTACCAAAAAACTGCATTTTATCAGCATCTTTACCAAACACGACTATATTATTTACGCATCCTATGATCTGTTTCATTATTCGTTGTTTAGTGACGTAAAGTAGGTGTTTCCTGTCATTTAACAAAGCACTTGTAAGACATCTCCAACAGCTGCTTAACTGAGCGCTTTCTGCAAGCGTCTCTACGTACTACCACTCAGCTTTCGAAATGTGTATACGAAATTTGATGGCTGAATTCTGGGATATTTTGTTGATTCTGATCACACTACCTCAAAAATGAATAACTTTCAAAACTACTACAAGCTTAAGCGATTGGATTTGAAATGGGCAAAAAACCAACTTGTGTCACAGAGGTGTCAACAACTCAAACGCAATTCTGTATACAAAAGCAGAAAATCCAAGCTCTCATGCCACCACGACTTACTTCCGTCTGTTACCCATCGTGAAGGAGCATAGACCGCCCACCGGCATTCTCCATCCGACTCTGTCCTGAGCAATCCTTTCCAGTTGCTATTCACCCTTTTGGTGTCTGCTTCCCATTCTCGATGCAGTGTGTTCTTTGGTAATCCTCGTTTCTGTTCCCCTTCAGGATTACAAGCTAGAGCTTGCCTTGTTATGCAGTTAGATGATTCCCGAAATATAAATCCTATCCACTTCCAACGTCTTTTCCTAATCTCCTCTTCAGTTGAAAGCTGGTTCGATCTCCCCCACAGTAAGCTGTTGCTCCACTCAATGTCACCCCCGCACCAGACTGCCCCAACTGCGAGCGATCGCAGAACAGCACCCTCCCCCTCTGGTTGATAGCGACACCAAATGTAGCGAACGGAACACGGGTGGGGACAATCGAATGTATTTTAGTCAACTTAAAATTACGATGGGAAATTTGCGGACAGCCCCCGATAAACTCAAGGAAGCTCTGAAAGAGCCGAAGACATTCCATCCAATCATTGTTTGGAATGACATTTCAGAATCTCGACGTGTAGTTTCCCGATTGAACAAATACTAAAACTCACTACATGCGGATTGGATGCCTATAATGATTATTTAGTTTTTGCTAAAAATTACAAATACCTGAGTGGTCTGTACGATATTTGACACTGTTTGAAAAGGATATTTTCCCACTCGTATTCTAACTTGCGACTTGTAGTGTTCAAGAGTTTGAGTGCCGAATTTGTATGCGGCATAGCAAAAATCCAAGTTCTGAATATAACAGGAAATGTATCAAACAACTTATGTTGAATAACACAACAACAGAAAAAACTGTTTGGTAAGGTTGGCATAACCATTTAACAGCATAAATGAAAATTCAAAGTAGAAAAACTTTTGTCTTATTAACTATTAGTTCAGAGTATTGACATATGTTTAAAGTAAGCTTTATAATGAAATACGTTCTTTTTTTAGTTCTCACCAGCCTGGATATTTAGTTTAAAAAACTATTAATTTGCGGACATTGATAAAACAAGACAATGAAAACCAATAACTATTATAAGTTGTATTCAATTTCAAAACTTAAGCAAATAGAAAAAATGTGTAGGAGATAGATTTTCTATGTTGTTTTTCTTTTCCTAAGTAGAGAAATATGAGAACTATTTAAACTTCAAATTGGATTCGATAAAATAAAACAACTGTCAACAATGAATCATATAAAAAAATAATGTTTATTTCAATAGCTGAGATCATGAATCAATTGAAGCTGGACCACCATGGAAAACCTGGAAGCACTGGACGGCCGTTTCGTCCTATTGTGGGACTCCTCAGCATTGCTCGTCCACCATTTTGCTTCGTGAGATTCAAACCCAGGACCTATTAGTCTCGTGCGCGAGCGCTTAACCGATAGACCGCTGAGCCGGCATCCAACCGTGTTAATGTCTAATTTCAAACGATCCGTGAAATTGAACTACACATTCACAATTGTCTTCAGTGAGTTACTGTCTCACAGTGTTTACTTTATGATTTTTGACTGTAAGACTGACATTTCCTAGAATCTAGTTATTATTAGAGCTTTATTATTTGAATTACGAAGAATTAAAACAAAAAGTTACTAACTAACAGTACATTTAACTTCAAACGCCATTGCTTTATCCACTTCGTTATTGAGCCCAGATAGCCACCTCACTTCACAAGCTAGTGGCTCTCAGGATTCAGTAGTTAAGTGAATGACATGATGGCGTTTGAAGCGAACGGTACTGGGTTCGCGTACCGAGGTGAACATCAACTCTGAGATTTAGTTACATCCAGTCGACGAGTCCTGAATGGGACGAAACGTGAGTCTTGTATTCTAGTGCTAGCCACCAACCATCTCTGCTTATAATGTTTGTGGCTTAATGGCAATACCAAATCAATCCGCACAGGCTTCACATATATCAATAAGAGACTGTTCAACTGGAGTCCTAAAAATCAATGGGAAGATTCAAACAACCAATACAGAAATGAAATATTATGAACGTTGTTATGTACAAGTATATACTAAAATAACTTAATGTTGTTATGTATTTCACTTAAATAAAGCTAAAAAATGAAGTGATAGCTGAGATTCTTCACATTTTTATTTGAACAACACCTATGGAAGTGTAACTTCTTTGATCTCTCAAGATCAATACAATTCTTTATACATGGTCCTCTGATCTTAGATCTATTCTAGCCTGGTGGCTTGATATAGTCTGTGGCAAATCTCTACAGCGTTGGACAGAAGATCGAAAACAACTTTATCACTACTGGTTTAGACAGTTTCGACGTTGAATATAAAGTTTGTTCACATTTAGTTCACGACACAAATGGTAATAGGAGGTCAATTCACCAAATTGTCAAAGAATATTTTAAGTAAGAAACAATTACCTATTATAGGAATGATATGTAAACTGTCAGCTATCTCAAAACATTGGACGAAGACTTATTAATTACTCGTGAAGTCAATGTTTACAAAAACAATTAACCTAAAGCTGATGTTTAACACTTCGTTCCTCCAGTAACAGGTGATGAGTATTGACATTTTTGGAGTTTTTTCAACATTTGAGTATATTCGCCTACTGTAGTGTGGTCTACTTATATCTACATAAGTAGTATATGGCTATGGACAGACATAGAATATATTTTGGCAGAAGACCGATTAGGAAAGAACAGAAATGAAGCGCAATTGGTAGGAAAATGCATGAACAATGGAACTAGAGAATATGAACCGATATTTACAGTAGGAACAGTGAAGATTGAGACAATTAGTTGTTATTTTGCAAATTAACTGTTTGCTGTATAGTTATCAGAATTTAGTGAGATAGTCTAATTTGTGCTTAAATACATTCGATTGTCCCCAACTAGTGTTTTGTTCACTACACTATTATGGAATGATTATAAACTTACAATGGTAAAACAATCTGTTAAAGTTTATGCAACTCAACATCATACAGAAATTAAAATGACATCACATAACTATGTGGATGATTTTCTTCAATAGAATCAGAAGAAATTTCTAAGTGTAAAATGATGCTTTGATTTAGCATGGAACAATGAAGTCAGTTGAATGTGACTTCTGTTTTTTCTAAATAAACTGAAACCAATACGAAAAGTACATATTTCAAAATAATAAGAATAGAAATAAATAAAGTAGGATTTAGAGTTACCGATATTGGTGATAGGACATTTATTTTTTTACAAGTACCACTTTATTGCGTTTTAGAAACAATAAATTTCAAGTTGACTTTCACACCTAACCATATATGACAACGTATCGAAATGTACTAGCAAATAACCATGGGAACGTGTATTAAGTTTTATAAACATAATCATTTGAAACATTTCATGCGTTTCTACAACTCTGTAATGTAATATTATATATATACGGTAACGTGATACTTTGATGTCCAACCGATAGTGAGCTATGTTTGCAATCA